TTGTACCTTATGGGGTCTGTCACTGACACACAGGTACTCATCAGACTTCGACTGTGCTGCATTTCCAGGGAGATATCAGCTTCCTTTTCCTACTGAAGCATTTGAACACCAGTTTAATATTTTCTCATGGAATGTAAATGCTAGAGTCAATATTGCACAGGAAACAGTTTTTCTACATTGAAATTGCAACAATCTTTTGTGATTTAATGTATTCCCGAAGGCTTTCACAGCCAGGATCTAATGGTTCAAGTATTCGAGCCAAGCATTCAAGCCCACCACAAAAATACAACAAATGTTACGGTCAGCAAAGGACAGAAGGGACCCCCTCACCATTGCAGGAGTATACCGGATACCTTGCAGTTGTGGCCAGGTATATATTGGAACCACAAAACGAAGCATCCACACCAGAATCAAAGAACATGAGAGGCACTGCAGACTAAAACAACCAGAAAAATCTGCAGTAGCTGAACATGCTCTAAAACAAACTGGACATGAAATTCTATTTCAAAATACCGAAATACTGGACAACACCAGCAATCATTACGTCAGACTGCAAAGGGAAGCCATTGAAATCCACAAGCACCAGCAGAACCTCAACAAAAAAGAGGAAAGTTTGAAACTCAACAAAACTTGGCTCCCAGCTCTCAAAAATACAGCGTGCAGAAGGTCAACGAACTCTACCCAGCCACAAGGATCGGGGATCACTACACACAAAAGACCAGCTAATGACACCCATCAACCACAGTGACAGATAATCTCTCCTTCTTATCACAACAATACACCCACAGCAAGACACACTAATCACCTATCTACAGAAAAAGACAAAAGCCCATCTCACAGCCATAAATACTCCACTCCCAAGCCAACTACACCAGAGCACAGAGTACTGTCCTCTGAAGATGCCGGCCACAGAGACTGGCAAAATGTTAGGAAGAACAACCTTCAGAACATGGCCAAAGAGCCCAAAAAACCCATAACAACCATTTTGTGATTTACATTTTCTAAGCATCAATAACTTTTGATATTCACCTTTCTCACCTGTAAATCACCTACTGTAATCTCAAAGGATATAGAGGCTTCCAGATTCAGTTCAGTAATATAGAGAATACAGTAATTAGGGGTACATATCATCAGCCAATGAAGACAGGAGGGCCTGGCGTACTCTGGTCCATGGGGTCACGAAGAGTCGGACACGACTAAATGACTAAACAACAACAATCATCAGCCAGTAGCAAGTAGTTGTGTTTATTTGACAAAGATCTTACATTCAGACCAAACCCATGTAATACAGTACTGGCTTTTCAATGGTGCTCAGTAAGCTCCTCATTGAGCTGACTTCATGAGGTGTGAAAAAGACTTTTATGCTAAATGCAATGACTGCAGCCTGTCTGGTTCTGTATTGCAGAAGGCATCTGTAAACTTTCCACTGCCTTCTGTGGAATGAGGATGTCTCCAGACAATAATTTTTTTTTATCCACCATGAAGAATGTATTCAGTGGGAGAAAACATTGAAAAGACAGTGTTCATTGGAAAGTAAGCAAATGCAAATATATAGAATCTGCATGATTTTTGAGAGGAGGTGCTGTATTCAGAAGTCAAAATTTCCACACAACTCTGTATTTTCTCTTTAGATTTAATGTGGTTTATGTTGCTTCATTAATATTTTTCCATGGAGGAAATTATTTCAACAGAACATCATTAGCGTGTATGTGTGTGTGTACACATGTCATATATATATGACAGTCTGAACCTCATTAATTCCATTTGCAGTATAGACTTCTTTGTCGTTCATAGTAAAGAAGCTTTAAAAACTGTTTGCATCAGAAGTATGTATGTTACTTGTATGCTAGTTGTAACCCATTGTGTTACAAGTCCCTTTTCATTTCAGCTAAAGCTCTCAGATTTTTTTGAACTGCACAAATGTTTGTGTTTCTAAAAACACATCGAGTGAGCAAGCAAACTTCTGAAGCCTCATTAAATTTCCAGCTTGTGTGGGTCTCCAGAACAACTACCATTGTTCATTAACTTAATGTTATTAAGAGCTAGATGCAGTCTCCAAAAGCAATGAACTAGTGTAAGGTCAAGTACTAATGCTCACCCGTAGCAGAAATTGTTCAGATTTAGTATTTTATACACACAATAAAAGACTTTGTGGTAGTTTAGCAAATGTGACGTTCTCCTTCATATCTATTATTATCACCAGGTGGTAAGATATTTATTATATTATGCCATCTCTTCCAGTCGATTGGCTACACGATACAGCTATACTTTTGTCTTCCCAGTGCCTTTGTGAATTATGCTAGACTTGTACATTGAGGATTTAGTATTTTATACACACAATAAAAGACTTTGTGGTAGTTTAGCAAATGTGACGTTCTCCTTCATATCTATTATTATCACCAGGTGGTAAGATATTTATTATATTATGCCATCTCTTCCAGTCGATTGGCTACACGATACAGCTATACTTTTGTCTTCCCAGTGCCTTTGTGAATTATGCTAGACTTGTACATTTGCTCCAGAACATCTTGTGTGTTTTGTCTGGGCAAGGATTTGAAATCCCATCTGTATGGTCAAAATCCGGTCTACTGTCTCCTATGGCATAGTGGATGGTAACTCTTAGAAACACCAGAATGGTTCTCACGATCTTAATGTCAGTCTCCAGACATGACTAATTTTCTTTCTTGAACAACTCCATGGAAAGGCCAGCTTCATGAAGAACCAAGGCAGATCAATAGGTTCTGAATGGTTCAAGTTAAAAAAAAAACAGAAGTATACTTAGACTATTCAGCTTGACAGATAATAAAGTGCCACATCACTGAGTAATTGATAAAGGGAGCTCAAAACTTGTTTCTGTATTTTGTTCTTGCTGTTTCTGCCATTGCTACGGTGTCAGAAGAGGTATTGTTTAGTTCTTGTCCTTGTGCACTGGAAAACTGGAAATCGGCTTGAAGCAATACCACATCGTCCAGTTCTCCATTCCTCCTTGCCAGATTAATCTCTCAGTCCTCTCCAGTCTGTTCAGCTGAAAGCATAGCCTTTGGGCCAACCTGTGCAGCCAGGTTGTGAGGGGAAGTGGTCAAGTGATAAGGTTGCCTTCATTTGCAGGTGCTTTCCCATGACAAAGCTCTGTCACATAATAAAATCCTTGTCACTTTATAATTAGAACTGTTGTGTGAATGTAAAGGCCAAATGCTGTAAGTTCATTGCTTTGAATGGGTCCACTGCAAGCTGTGTATAGTAGAAAGATCATTTTTTTTCTTGGCTCAGAAGCTTGTGAGAAAAAAATGTGATAAACATTGCTTTCTACCAAATTAAATCAACAAAATCCACAATCAGGTTTTTAAAGCTGGTAAAATCATGTTCCAGCTTATCAAATTGTTGGCTGGCGCATTTAATTAAAAGTTAAATTGAAGGCAGAGATTTATTCCTTCTCAGCATTCTAACAAGATCTATGGACATCCATCCTTAGGCTTAGTTTGCAGTTCTGTATAAAACACTATGAGGTGACTGGTCTGTATGGGGCTATAAAATCCACACCAAGCATTTAGATGTTTTATTAAAAATAGTTTCTTCCCTACTATCAAGGGATGACGTAGCCTAGTCTGGAACCTTTGTGAAATCTATAGTTTAAGCTTGCAAGATTTGTATAAATCAATTCTGTTTCATCACAGCAATACAATTTGAGTGTGTATTTCTATTTAAAGCATCATATAATGTAATTAAAACATGAATGATACAAAAACATGTTTCCTGCCCAAGTGAGTAAAATAATATTTATGTCTATTTTTGTAGGAAAGTTTAGCTAAATCATCATGTGCCATTAAGTTGATTCTGACTTATGTCAACCCTTTTCAGGGTTTTCTAGGTAGGGAGTACTCAGGAGTGGTTTACAGTTCCCTTATTTTAGGGGCACCCTAAGATTGTGCAGCTTGCCCAAGCCCACACAGGTTGGCTCTTCTCACTGGAGGCACAGTGAAGAATTGAACTTCCAATCTCTGGCTTTGCAGCCAGATAACTAGCTCACTGAACTATCCAGCCAATTGAATGTTTAGCTATAATATATTTAATGCACATTGCACATACTCCCCTCTCTATAACTGTTTGATGCCTATATAACATTCTGTGGAAGAACTGATCAGGCAAGAGGTAAACAAAAACAATCTGCATAAGGCTTTGTTTACTTCTTTATTTTATTAAATTCATGCCCACTACAAAGTAGTTTTCAGGGTGTCTTTCAATCTTCAGAAAACAATAAAATCAAGTAAAACATATTCATCCATAAAAAAATTAAAATCAGATAAAACAACCTTAAAATAAAAGTCATTAACATCAATTAAGTGTATAAACAGTTTTTTAAAATCACAGAAGTTTATACCCCAGTTTTAAAGGACATTTTACACCCGTTCTAAAAGTAGTGATAATGGAACTTGGTTGCAACCATGAAAAGAGTGCATTGCAATGAAAAGAGTGCATTGCACAGTTTGGGAGGCACATAGAGGAGCACTCTCTTAGGCTGCAGGGCTCTGTGACTGTTGGTATTCTTAGCAAGGTCTTTCTGTAAGATTAAAAGAGTGCATTGCTCAGTTTGGGAGACACATAGAGGGGCACTCTCTTAGGCAGCAGGGCTCTGTGACTGTTGGTACGGTATTCTTAGCAAGGTCTTTCTGTAAGATGTTAACATCCAGAGAAGTTCATAACAAATCATACAGTCCGTTAGATTGCCAAGCCTCAAGATATTTAGGACTTTAAAAGATGAAACCAACACTTTTACTGTATTCCTTTTATAAAAGTCAAGTTTGTTGGTCATTCTGTATACACAGTTGAAGAAGTATGCCACATGCTTGAATTCACCTTCCCTATATTGTCATTACTGTTAACTGGTTCCTCCCACCCCTCCAGCTATCAGAGAAGCATAGGGTGAAAGATGACTACCATAGACATCGGTCTCAGGTCCTAATGATTACTCTAATGTCTGTGTTGTGTTTTTTTTTAAACAGTCCTCTCCTTGCCGTTTCCTTTGCCATCTCCTGTGCAGTTCCAGGAATAGCCCTACTGACCTTTGGAGTAAATCCTCTTACTGGAGCCCTGGGAGCCTTCAACATTATCTTGTACACATGTTGTTACACCCCACTGAAGAGAATCAGCATCATCAATACATGGGTGGGAGCAGTGGTTGGTGCCATTCCCCCGATCATGGGATGGACAGCAGCAACTGGCAGTCTGGGTCCAGGTGAGTGTAATATGCAAGTCCTTTGGATTTAGGGGACAGTAGTGATCTAGTATAAATGCTCCCATCCCATTGCCAATTTTATTCTTTCAGATAGTTACATATTTTATTTAATCACAATAATTTAATTGGATGTGTAAATCTTTCTTCATATAGCTGAGTTAAATTTTGTATCCCTTTGTAGATTGCTCCAAAGAAGAATTTTAATAGTCTGAAACGTGTGTCACTTCTCACTGTTGATTCTTTTGGGAACCAGTTTCCTTTTTTTCACATTTTTGTTCTGGCTTTGGTGCATCTGTTTTGGTGTGTGTTTGTTTTTTAACGTAGTTCTGGAGTATTTTGTATAAGAGACATTTTGGTAACTGAGTCAAATTGGAACACCAAGGACCTGCAATGTAGTTTTCTCAGAATGCAACTTTCTGCATATGCATCACCTTCTTGACAGGCGGAGCCGAGAGATCTCAATCAGTGGACAAGACAAAGATGTTGGAAGGAAGGATTTGAACATTTTGGGACAATCCAGGCCTATATAAGAACAAAAACAGAACAAAAAAGTCAATTCTGAATATTAAAAGTTTTATAAGACAGCTTCTAAACTCACCCTTAAGAAAGGTTGACATTTTGGTAGCAGCAGCTAGTTTCAAATAAATTGTGCCTACTGCAGAACAGGTGAAGCTCTGGCCCACATGCATAATTTGCCAATATGGGGGTGGAGTAGAACTAGGAAATTAGTGTCCAGCAGCTCATGGTAGCTGATTGGAAGGCTGTATGGAACAAAGCATGCCTGAAAGACGTTTGGAATTGGACACCATCTCTAAGTAATAGAGGTTTCTGGGCCAAAATAGGAGAACTAGAGAGCTTGGTTCTAAAGGAAGATACATAAATGGAATGGAGAAAGCCAGTGGAATATGATTATATTTGAATACAGAGTAAATGGGAAGGACAAGGATGGATTTACTGGGTAAATTGTCACTCTGTATCTCAAAGAAGGCATGGAGTCATAAGACTAGAACTTTTAAAAAGGACTGATTTCTGCACAGAATTACTTGTGGTAGCAATAGATTTATATAAAACTGCAAATTGTTTTGGTTACCATGTCTAAGATCTCTGTGTTCCAACAAAGCTATAGAGAATTTCTTTTTTCCCCCAAGCATTTGTAACTTGTATATGTGAAACTAGTTAAGTCATACAAAAACTTCCCCCTTTACTTAAATCTGCATCTACGTAAGCCTCTACATAAATGTTCCATGAACATTGTTCCTCTAAACCAGGCAACAGTGAAAAAGATATTTCTCCTGCCAAAATGAGCAGGACATCCTTGGAAATGTGACTTTAAAATGGAAGCTATTTTACACTGTGCAGAATTTGTATACAGTATCACTATGTTTGGTTGGGGATTGCAAGGATGGAGCCCAAGATTCACATATCCAGTTGTCATTATTCAAAAACTTCTTTTATAAAAGCACCATGCAGATATTTGTCTATAAATATAGTAAAGGTAAAAGTAAAGGTTCCCCTTGACATTTAATCCAGTCATGTCCGTCCCTAGGGCGCGGTGCTCATCCCTGTTTCCAAGCCATAGAACCAGCGTTTCTCCGAAGATAGTTTCCATGGTCATGTGGCCAGAGTGACTAGACACAGAATGCCGTTACCTTCCCACCAAGGTGGTCCCTATTTATCTACTCACATTTGCATGCTTTCGAACTGCTAGGTTGGCAGGAGCTGGGACAAGTGACGGGAGCTCACTCCATCACATGGATTCAATCTTATGAATGCTCGTCTTCTAACCCTGCGGCACAGAGGCTTCTGCAGTTTCACCCGCAGCGCCACCACATTCCCTCATACATACAGTATATAGGCCTAAAACTAGAGATGGGCATCAATAAGCATATAGTCCACCTTTATATTTATGCCAGAAGTATGGAAGGACCGAAGATGCTTAAGAGCTCCCATGATCCAGAGTCTGATTACTGATCATGTTCACTAACCGCTACAGAGCCTTCTTGAGACCTTTGCTCACAAAGCTTTAACATTCATTGAGGTGTGTGGTGATGTTGGGTGGGGGTGTTTGCATACCAGACCCACATCTACAGTTTTCTACTTAACACACAAGCAGCAAATGTCTTCAGATGGCTGAAATGAACCTGTGAATATGGTATGGTGCTCTTGTCTTTATTGCATCCAGAAAAATCAAGATTTCTTTACCATTCAAACAGTTCATTTCTACCTCTAGTTTGAAAAATGACCAAAGAACAGTACAGTTTTTCATTGTTACAGAGGCACAGGTTTAAACATTTTCCTTGCTGCCAAGAGCTGGTGCCTTCCTGGTAGTACACAGTTTTCATTTGTCTTTGTAGGGGTGTCTAGCTAAAGTGAGAAATAACAGCAGTAGGCATTTGCATAGTGCATTTGAAGTTTTCAGAATCACTCATTCACAGTATCACAATAAACCCTGTAAGGCAAGGCCAATATTGATATTGATATTCCTATGTCAGAAATGACTGGGAGATATCTGAGAAAGTAATTGTTTGCTCATCATCATCTTGAGAGAGGAAAACTATTCCTATGTCAGAAATGACTGGGAGAGATCTGAGAAAGTAATTGTTTGCTCATCAGACTAGACCCATATGTGTGAATTCACAGAGGTCCACTCGAAGAACCATGGTTACAGGTAAGTAACCTTTCTTTTGCTCATCATCATCTTGAGAGAGGAAAAAAGAAAAACTTGCATTTTGAGGACTTTTTGGCTCATAATTTAAATTGTTTGCTGCTGCTGCATTTTAAAAAAGCATGTACTGGGCAAAATTTTGAACTTTGAAACTAGGCAGAATTTTAAATTGGAAATGAAATCTAAGGTGTGTGGGTCTTGTCACACTACGATGACACTAAAAGAACACATCTTACTCACAACCTGGAATGGATCTGCTGGATCATCTTTTGCTGTTTCGCCAGCCAGCTCTATTCAATGATGTTTTCCAAAAGCTCATGGAAAAGCAGATACTTCCTCTGTGCTGCAGTGCTACCCTGCCCATCAAGTTTCTGCAGATGATGGGGTTTCCTCTGGGGCATTTTGGGGACAGGTAAAAAGATATAGGGGGAAATGTGTTTTATAAGCAGAGGTCTGCTTGTGTAACATTGGATGTCTGAACCATCAGTAATAACAATGGCATGGCATCAAGTTGATTCCAACTTACAGCGACCCTTTCCACAGTTTTCTGGGTGCAGAATACTTGGAAGTGGTTTACTGCTCCCTTCTTCTAGAGGCACCCTGGGACTATGCAGCTTCTCCGAGGCTACACAGGTTGGCTTTGCTCCCAGGAGGGACAGTGGGGAATCAAATTCCCAAAATGTCACTCCACGGCCATATACAGTATCTAACTCACGCAGCCACCTCTGTCTGGACCATTTTTAATTATGTAAACAGCAGCAGGAGGAGACAGAAGTGGAGGAGCAGTTGCCCATTAACTGCTCCTCCGCCTCCATCAAGGGTCAAAATTAGGGGGTCATTTTATACATTGGGGGGTTGTGTGCACCGAAAAATACGATATATACCATATTTTTTTGGTGTACATGACCCCCCCAATGTATAAAACAACCCCCTAATTTTGACCCTTGATGGAGGCGGAGGAGCAGTTAATGGGCAACTGCTCCTCCACTTCTGTCTCCTCCTGCTGCTGTCTCCGCTGCCCGCCCGACCACCTTCTCCAGTGCAACTGCTGGTGCTCACCTCCAGCTCACATCACTGTCTTGTCCCCTGCCTAAGGAGATGATCGCTGGAGGAGGTGATCTGGCAGCAGCACCAGGAAGAGTGCACATGAGTGCTTGCTTGCCTCCACCTCTGCCTCCTGCTGCCTCCACCACCGGAGGGAGGAAGGGGACAAGGCGGCAACGTGATCTGAGCCCCTCAGTCCCACTGGAGATGGTGATCGGTCAGGCAGGGGAAGCAGCAGCAAGAAGCAACCGAGCTCATGTGAATGCTCCTTCACTTCAGTCTCTGCCTCCACCTCTTGCTGCTGCCTCGGCCACGGATGGGACAAGTCGTGAACTCTGGAAGAGCCAATTGGGCAGCAGCAGCGGCAGCAGCAAGAGGCGCCCGAGCATGCGCACGCGACTGCTTCCTAAAATGACACTCAATTTTTCCTCTAATTATTTTAGGGGAAAGTGTCATTTTATACACAGAAAAATACGGTAGTCAGAAACATTATCTTTGATACCCTGAAGAACAAAATATTTGTGAGAGTTTGGAGGTTAACTATTCCTAATTAGAGGCGCTGCAAGTCTGTATGTCCGAGACTGTTCTATAGAGCAGAAAATTTGTCTTTGTTGTAAAATCCTGCAGCCAATTCAAAATCTTGGGAATCAGTTTCTTTTCAAATAGTAAAATGCATATAAATATCTACAGGGGAAAACTTGAAAGCATGTTAACAGTTTCACGCACCAAAATTTATAAAGGTGAAGAATGCACTGGTCAGAAACTGTTCTCTATATACCTAAAAAAATCCCTTTTTGAATGAAGGTACAGTTTTGAAATATTCCAAAACATTAGTACCTTTGTCTCATTTAACAGAGTTTTCAGTGTTTATACAGACTATTTTTCCTCTCCCACGCATTTCATAACTCCTGATTCTTTGGTTTAAATCCATTTGTTACTCCCAATTAGAATACACAGGTCAGTCAATGTGGACTTGGTAAATGAATACTCAGCAGAAGTTTCAACAGCTAGAATTCAGTTAGTATAGTATGGCACACATAAGTCTGATGATGTTGTACTGTGTTTCCTCGAAAGTAAGACAGGGTCTTATACTAATTTCTGCTCCAAAAATGCATTAGGGCTTATGTTCAGGGGGTGTTTTATTTTTTTCATGCATAACCATCTATATTTATTCAAATACAGTCATGTCATCTTCTGGTTGCTGCACAATGGTGGAGGGTGGGGTTTCACTTAACTGGAGCTTATTTTGGGGGTAGGGCTTATATTATGAGCATCCTGGAAAATCATACTA